ATCCTATGCTCAGCACTTTTTTCTGCCCTAGAGTCTACATGATTTTTTAGAAGCATGCCACAATAAGAGCACAAATAACTAATCTCTAATCTCTGATGTCAATTAAGAATTTTTTTTTTTTTTAAGTTGGAGTCTCACTCTGTCACCCAGACTGGAGTGCAGTGGCCACTCCTGGCCACCACAGCCTTGACCTGCTGGGCTCTGGCGATCCTTCCACCTCAGCCTTTCAAGTAGCTGGAACTACGGGCGTGCGCTACCACGCCCGGCTAATTTTTTTGGTTTATTGTTGAGATGAGGTCTGGCCAAGTTGCCCAGGTGGGTCTCGAACCCACGGGCCCAGGTAATCCACTCACCTCAGCCTCCCAAAGCACTGGATTACAGGCTGAGCCACCAAGCCCGGCTTAATTAAGAATTTTAATTCTATTTCCCTTCTACACAGGAGTTAGTTAAATATTGCTCCCTACAAGCAAAGCAGAGTCCTTCTCCCTGGACCACACCTACCATAAAAAAAGGTATGTTCTACTATAAAATAATCATGTTTCAGACTTTGGTTCATGGTCCCATGCCAAAAACTTCTTTATAACACCTCCTCAGGCAACTAAGGGCACTGGAATGTAAAAGCAAGACAGCTGGGTGGGCATGGATGGCAATGCAAATTAGGAAGCCAAAGAACAAACAAGTAACACTTGGAAACACTTAGCAATATAATAATAAATCGTGTATACCAATGAAAACTGCTCTACCATGCTAGCTCTCATAAAAATGAAGGGTAATAACTTTTCATTTTAGTTGCTACTATAAAGATATTTTATTATTTCACAAAAGCCCTTAAACTTGTACTAAAAGATCACAATACATTTTCAAAAGTTTAGACATAGGCTAACAATGTAGAATTAACTGTGTAAGTATACACAATAGTATATACTTACTGTAGTCTAAGGACACACTTATTTCTAAAGCACAGAATCAAATGCATGGTTAATATTTATTTTCTTTGGATAGTCCTAATATAATTACTCCTAACTTATAGACAGGGCAACCACTGTGAGATTATCATGATCAGCTTTTTAAGCCTTGGTTAAGCCTCACTCACAGCATTCTACGATCTAGTCATGAGTCAAAGACTGCTAAATTGAACCCAATATTTGCTCTCTCTTCTTCAGTAATTTAATCCTGATTTTTAGTTGAATATATGGCTATGGAATAAGGATCCTTCCCAGCCTTTCTTGCAGCTAAGTATGGCCATGTGACTAAATTTTAGCCAATAGGATGTAAGGTAAGCCCTTAAGAGAAGGGCTATGGTCCTCTTCTTCTCTTTTCCCTTTCCTTCTTGTTGGTATGTGGAAAGTCACGGCAGGAGGAGTCAATTGGATCACTATGTGAAAGGTGCCTGTGGAGGACGATGGCACAAGATTAATGAAGCCAGGTCCCTGATGATTGTGAAACTACCATATCAACCCAGGGTCTGCCCAACCTGAACTTTTTCACAAGAAAGCAACTTCTTTTTTTGTTTAAATCATCGATACACTAGGCTTTCTATCCTTTAAAACAGCTCTGTCTAACCCTAATACACCATACCAGACTTCTTCCAGATTCTCCATTCTCTAGGCTTTGGACTTTTATGAATGTAATTCCCTCTGCCTGAAACACTGTTACAATATTCTGCTCCTTGTCTGCTTTCACCCTTCAGATCAGGGCTGAAGTGTTCCACACCTATAATTATTACTGGGTTAATATCTGTCTCTTCCACCACACTACATACTCTATAAGAGCAAGTATCTACTTTGTCCACATTCAAGTGACTAGTATGCACTATAAGCCCAGTAAATATTTGCTCAATGAACAAATAAATAATGCCACAGCCCTTGAGTGATTTCTAAGCCACACCTCAAAGATATATTGGCCCAAGCCGGGCTCAGTGGCTCAGCCTATAATCCCGTGCCTTTGGGAGGCTGAGGTGAGTGGATTGCCTGAGCCCG